TGAGTGGTACCGGCCTACCTGCTACTTGAGTGTTTTTCCCCGCTGCTCTAAGTGTCGCGGACCTCCCCCCGCTACTCGAGTGTTTTCCCCCCGCTGCAACCCTCAAAGTCACGGCCACAGGTAAGTACCGGGCCTGCGGGGCCTTTCAACCAACAAGTACCCTTGCGGGGCACACACACAAGCACTCCGACAGGCATGCAAACCAGCAGGCACGCACACACACACAGCAGTACAAGGGGTTACCCCATTCGGGAATCTTCGGATCTATGCCTGTTTTTGACTCCCCGAAGCATTTCGTCGCTTACTACGCCCTTCTTCGTCTCTGAGTACCTAGGTATCCACCGTAAGCCCTTCCTTATTTGAACCTATTACCTTCCTTCCGAAATCGGTTTTTCTGTATAATCGTTTATGTCCACCACCCCTATGTCGGCTAGTTCAAAAATTGTGGATTCGTTGGATCACAATTTTTTTTAGAAAATATAAGAAAGCGTTTATATCTATAAAGAAACTCTTGGATCTAAAACGTTCTATTGATATTCTTTAAATTTACGAATATCCAATTCATTATTATTAAGAATAAATAAATAGAACAGCAGAATGCGGGAATCTCAACAAGGCAGTCATTCCAGCAACAAATCCTTGAAATCAGCAGTGTTCTCAGTCTGTGTTTTTGGCGGGTCATTACACTATTAATATTTAATGAATGGGTTTAATATCAATGTAATTTAAGGGATTTTAATAAATTTGAAACGAATTAAAAATTTTAAAGCGACTGTAATTAATTTCAACGAATTCTATTATAAATGAATTAAATACTAAAACTGATTTGATTGGAGTTAACTTTTTTTAGTGTAAATTGACGGATTTAGATTGGATTTTAAGTTAATTTAAGTAATTGCCGACAATGCCGAGAAATTAAAAAATGAAATTCAAAAAAAGGAGATGTCAAAAAATAAAATAAGAAAAAGGAGATTAATTGAATCAATGTTTGATAATAAGGTGAAGATGCGAAATTCGAATCTAATTTGAAATGCGAAATGTTAATTATTTACTTTTAAAAAGGAAAATGTAAATTTTCAAAAATAAAGAAGTTCAATTAATTTTAATGTTCAAAATGGGAGAATAAAGTATTATAAACTTTTGTCGATCAATAGGTGTATCGTACGGATGGGGGGGAAGGGCGAGCGGAAGCGAGGTTGGGCAGTGGGGGCGGGGGGTGGGATCAGCCCCGTGGGGGGAGAAGAGG